GTCCATTGGCCTCATTGTTTTTTGGTCTACTTAGACGAGTGCTTACCATGGCCTACCCTTATGACATCAAGAGTTTCTCCTACAACTGCTTTTCCCTTCCATTTCCATCGGTCCTCTACTAACTCAAACTTCACAGTTCATTACTACACTGAGAAGGGCTTTGATATACCAAAGACATACACCTCAGGTAAGTTATAGGTATGAAGTCCCACGTTGTTAGTTTATGTAGCCTGATTTCATGCATCAGACACATGTCAAGGTGAGTCTGAATCCACTTCTCATTTATTCTTCTTTCAACCTCTAATGCTGACCTTACTTTGGTCTCCTTGGCCATTGGGAAATTGAGACCCTTTCCTTCTGGATCCCAAGTTTCTTCTTCCACATAGCATCTTAACCCCATGGCGTCCTTCTGCATGAGACTCAGAACTGCAATCAGCGCTCCCTTCTATGGGTGTAGAGACCCTAAGATTAGTTTCCTGAAACCGGCCCTGTTTTAACTACTTCTTCCTGCTCTAAAAGCTTTTTCTTGCTTTCTACCTTTTACTACTATACTCTAAAACCACTCTCATCTCTTCCTGTTCTAAAACTTCATCATCATTTCTGAATCCATGTTTTTTCTACAAGTCCTAATTTTTTTTACATCTCTGACCTCAGAGCCTCACTTACTCCATCTGTTCTTGCTGGCCTTGCTTTCCCTCAGAATTGCTAATCTGAAAACTCACTTTCTGCACTAATTTCTCTCCTCAGAATAAAACACAATGATCAGAAAACATTTACACACCCATTGGTTCACAGATTTATTTATTTATAACCTGCTGCCTTCTTACAGAAAGGATTTAAAACCATAGCAAAGATGCAAATAATATGGCAAAAGAAATTAAACTAAAAATAGCTTTAGAAAAAGAAGTGACAAAGGGAAAACAGGGCTGGGAGGCACCTGGAACCTGTGAGGTTTGGCAGTGGATTTCATTACAGGTGGTCCATGGCCAACAGAAGAGGGAAATGAGATCAGTTACAAAGTTTGTATCCAGGAGACAAAAAGAAATCTAAAATGCTCGTGAAAACTATGACTTCCTATGGTCCCAAGGCTAGAGAGAAGTTTCTGCTGTGAGCCTTGGGGTAGGTTCTCCTAATATAAGAGATTCTTTTCAGCATTCTTGGAACAAACACAAATAAGTGTTCCCTGTACAGACATCCTCCTGATTAGAAATGTTTACCAAATTTTAACTCTCTATGAATGGTGAAAGATGTTCAAGTGTGAGTTTAGTGATGGAGGAGCTTCTTTTCAACTTGAGTATTCAGGTGTGCTGATGGTTAAGAAATCATGTAAGATGTGGTCCCTGCTCTCACAGTCTCACAGGATAGCTGCTCTTATGTCTGAAGGCACAAGGCCATCACCCCAAGTACGTGCATACCTGCTGAATGTGCAGATGTACTTCCTTGTATAGAGCTCCAGAGCTTGCGTTTTAAACAAGGACTCTTGTGATTCTGATGCTGATGTTTCAGGTAAGAACTACTGTTTTTTGAGGAGGGCATTATTTATTTACATTTTCTGAGACAGAGTTCACTATGTAGTCCAGGCTGTCCTTGAACTTGCTGTGTAGCCCATGCTGGCCTTGAATTCAGGATCCTCCTCCCTCAGCCTCCTGGATGCTGGGATTACAGGTATGTACCACCATACTTGGCTCCAGGTAAGAACCATTGTAATTGGGGATTCTAAGCATTGGTCATTGTTCCACAGGGCAAGGTATCATTGCTAGGTACCACACAAATGGCCCCCAACAAAGGGTTACAGAAATCCACAGTGATACCAATCACTTCTGGTAGGTATATTGAGAAAAGATGGCGATCATGTTTGAGTTGTGTTCTGAGGCAGGGTAAGGGAAGATTCAGGATAAGCAGGAACACTTTCACGCAAGGGAAATAGACCAGGCAAAAATGCAGAGGTGGAAAAGTACAATGCTTGTTTGAGGGCAAGCAAATAGATCAGATTAGTTGGAGTATAAAGTCTAGGTAGAAGAAATAGTAGGAGATAGGGCCAGGAGGTAGGTCGGGGACAAATTATGGAGGGCACTGAATACCAGACTGATGAGTGAGAGAGCTATTTTCAGTAGGCAATGGGGAGCCATTGATGGCTTTCGAGCCCTAGAATGATGTGATCAAAGTAGTACTTGAGGAAGATTAGTTTGGTGGTAGTGTGTAAATGGATTAGAGGGTACGAAGACTATACAGAGTTCAGTACATAAAGGACACCTTATAACTGTTTGTTGAACAATACTTGAATAGAAAAAAGAACAGGCCATTGCAAAAACCTAGGTATAAGATGATAAAGGCCATAAGGAAGTAAGGATGAGAAATAAAGAGCATGGGATGAATGCTTGTACACTAATAAGAAAGATGTTACAGTCCAAGATGACCTGCTGTGCAGGAGGAAGGAAAGACAGAATCATTATTTGCTCTGAAGTTTGGAGCCTGAGCTAGCAGGGAGTTGTGGGTCCACTCCTGTACCAGCAAGGTCAGAAGAGGCCATGATAGTGGCCCAAGTAAATGAGTCTGTGAATTGGAAATGTGAATTGGAGTGCAGGGCTGGAGGGATCAGGGCTGGAGAGTGTGGCTTGGCGGGAAGGGCTCCTGCAGGAGGTTATGATGGAACATATTGTGGGGTATCTTGCACATGATCTTAGGTAGTGGTCACAATTCAGTGTTGGGAGAAGAAATATGAGGAGACACAAGAGTGGGCAGGGAAGTGTGAGACTGAGTTAGAAGAGGGCCTGGAATTCAAAGAAGAGAAGCATTTAAAGAAAGAAGGTCCTGAGAACAGGGCTCTGGGCTACAGACAGCTGGGGGAATACCAGAGCTCAGAGTACACCACAGAATCTAGTGACTAAGTCCTCACTGCTGACCTTGAACACAACAGTTTAAATGAGTGCAATGGTTTGGATAAGTGTTTCCATAAAGGCTCAAGTGTTTAAGGCTTAGAACCCAGAGCAGTGCTATTGGGAAGTAATGCAACCTTTAGGAAGTGGGCCCTTGTGGGAGAGCCCTTGATTGTTGCGGGTGTGCCATTGAAGGGGGCTATGGGACTCTTCTCGTCTTCCTATCTTGTTTCTGCTTTCTGGCTCATGAGATGTGCGTTTTATCACTCCACACACTCCTGCCATGATGTGTTGAGACCCCAAGCAATCTTGGATTAGAACCTCTGAAACTGTGAGCCAAAATAAACTTTATCTCTTTATAAGTTAATTGCCTTGGGTATTTCATTGTAGTGATGGAAAGCTGACCAACACAATAAGCAATGGGGATTTTATATTAGTTCTACTTATCAGGTGCTATATTAAACTAGGGTCCTCAATTTACATGCATATTTTTGGAAAAATTTTCTTTCTTTTTTCCTGTAATTTCACCTGTTCCTTCCCTTGCAAGTTCCTGGCCTAGACCTGCCTGCTTCCTCCTCCTCTTCCGTATGTCAGAAAAGGACCTTTGAGGGCTAATTGGCCTTTAATAAAACCTCAAGGACCATGAAATTCCATTATCCAAGTAATGGAAATATGCAGCTGAGAATCAGTTCCTTCTAGGCTGGCTGCCTGCTGTCCTTCTGGCCTGATTCCCTTTTCATCCATGTCCTGAGTTCAGTGCCAATTAAACATCATGGTTCATGTTTGAGAGTTGTACTTACAGTAATCTCTGTTTTTATCAGGACTATTTGGTTGCAGGTAATAAAATCTCCATTTGAATGATCTCTTTCAGGAAAGTGAATGTATCAGCACATGTAACTGGAACATTCTTCTACTACTTTATTAAGAGATTCAGATAAGGCAATTGGGATTCTTTCTTCCCAAGTGCACACTGTGCATCTCTGCCATGCTTCATTGTTTCCTTCTGCAGAGAGGTCTTTAGGTGTCAGGGAGGTTTACATCTGTAGCTTCCCCACACCACATTCAAACTAGTAAAGAACTCTAGGGAAGAACTCTCATTGGCCAGACATGATCCCATGCTCATCTTTACACCAATCACTGTGGCCAAAGGCACAAGGAAAACTGGTTGGCTGGACCTGGAGGACATGCCCCTTGTTGCTAGTAAGGATGACTGACACCTCATTAGAATCACATGATTGACATAGTAGAGAAGCAGTTCTCTAGAGAAAGGAGGAAAACCAGTAGGTGATAGTGGCAGAGGCCAATTCAAAGTCATAGCTATCCAGTCGAACTCCATTTACTTGGACAACAGCCTCTCTGTCTCCCTAGCCAGACCATGCCTGTAGCTCTCACTCACATTCTCATTTCTGCTCCCAAATTAGTGATCTGAGAGCTGAAGTGAAAGCTGAGCTGCAAGCCTTTCTTCTCCTCTTCTCTGGGTGGACTCTGTGACAGCCATCACCTACCTGTGCAGGTATCTCCTGATTTCCTGAGGCCCCAGGCTGGAGTGGCAGGGGAGGCTTAGATCAGGGCAGTGATGAGTTGGCTGAGGTGTGTGGGAGGAGAGACAGAGCCAGCCCAGGCTGCTGAGCCAGGCGAGATGAAGGTGCACTAAGGCAGGAGCCCGAGGGCAGATTGCCCCCTTGCTGCCTGAATCTGGCGGGAAGACTTGGTGCTTTCTGAGGGCCTGTGTTGACTTGCTCTGTGACCCTAGGCTACACACTTAATTGCTCAGGGCTGCTTCCCCTCACTCTCTCATCTGGCAAGCAGAAATAACGACATGACCAAACTAGCAGAAGCTGTGCTTTTCAGGGGGAGATGCTGACTTGGAGCTTAGTGCTATGGAAATTGGCTTCCAGACCACACTATCCCAAGAGCCCCCTGGGTCTGGACCCTCAAACCTCCTGGCAGGGCGTGGGACTGTGAGGCTCTTTGACTTAAGATTTTCTGAATTCAACCTTCTGAACCCTGTTACTCCTGCCACTGAGCTGGGAAATGAATAACCCTTTTCACACTAATGGTTGAGAGTGGGTGTGTGGTTTCCAAGGTGCTTACAAACACTTGCTTCAGAGCTGGGGCTTCTAATGCCAAAGAGGGCCTAGATGTGACGCTGGAGCTTTGGAGTTGGCAGGTTTTTATGACCCCTATTCCCCTTAGCCCCCTTCTTTCCAGGCTCAGCACAAGGAGCAGCCATATGATGTTTACACACATAGAACAACCGGATTACGCATCAAGGAGATAGGTAAGGCAGGCAGGCACGCAGTCAAGCTAAGTGGTGGGTTTTCTGCCATCTCCAGAGAATAGGAATGAGTAGGTGTGTGTGTGGGGGGGGGTCTGCATTTTTGAAAGGCAGCTCAGGAAATTCTGTGAGGTAAGAGGGTGGGTCTCCAGGACCTTCACCTGTGTGTGATTGGAACTGGTAAGCTTTTATCTACTTTGTATTCTGAGGGTATAGGCAAGACTACATTAGAAGAAAGGGTCTCATGGTGGATATGTAAGTTAAAAACAACCTAATCACATGCTTAAATTTGGAACTCATGCTCTTACCTTCATTTTTAAGGCCTAGGGTATCTATGATCCAATCTTCTCAATAGCGGTTCAGCCATGGGCTACTCATATCCCTAAAGCATGCTTTCCATTTCTTATCTCTCCGCTCATGCAGTCAGTCCCATGGGAATATGATCTCTTTTTCATTTCTGTCCTTCCAAAACTTCTTCGTTCTTCAAAACCCTGATGGAGTCCTCTTCTTGCATGAAGCCTTCCAGGACTAACCCAGAGAGCCACGGTTCCAGTCTGTGTGAGAGGTGCTGCTGGGGGGAGAGAGGCTCAGCATGCACTCCCTAAGCAATTCTTCCAGCAATTTTTCTTGTCCTGTTCTCTCTCTCTCTCTCTCTCTCTCTCTCTCTTTCTCTGTCTTTCATGCTTGCTTTTTTTCTTCTTTTTGTCTCACAAGGGATTGAGCCTAGGACATTCAAACTGAGCTATATCCCAGGCCCTATTTTTGTTTTAAATTTTGAGACAGAGCTTACTAAGTTGCCCATGTTTGGCTCAAATTTGTGATCTTCCAGTCTCAGCCTCCTAGATTGCTGAAATTGCAGGCGTGCAGTGCCACACCCATCTCAGCATGTTACCTGTTCAGGAAGTGTGCAATAGTCTCTTGACAAGATAGAGATTACGAATATGACCCGGTACCTCAGAAGAAGTTCTGAAAGCAAGGTACAGGGACAAGAAGCCAATGGTAGAATGCCTTCTCCTGAATTTACAACATGTCCCCAGCCTCTGCTCCTCTGTATTAGGATCTCATAATGACTCTGGGCAATGGGAGTCAAATGCTGGCTCAGTGCAAGAAGGCAGAGCAGATGGAACACCCTGGGCTTCCATACCATCCCACTTCCCTCAGCACAGGCCCTGCACTCTGGCTTTTGGTCAGCAGGATGAAAATCTGCTGGGCTGGGCACTGGTGAGTGAAGATGGAGGGACCTATTGGGCCCCAACACTTGGCAAAACTCCAGGTACTTGCTTTTTGGCTGGGGGAGGAGGAGCAGCGGGGAGTAGGAAGCACAGAATTCTCTCATCCCTAGAGCTGTCAGCCTGACCAGAATGGGCATTCATTTTCAGAATAAATAATCAACTCAAAAAATGTACCAAATTCATTTTCAAATTGGCTTGTCAGACACACGTTTGCCCAGGACAAGTCGGTTGAATAAAATGTATCTTGGGGAGCAAGGTGAGCCAGCCTGTCTCATTCCCTTAGGGACGGCTTGTAAACAAGGGCCATTCTTGAGGCCGGAAGCAGAGAATTCCCCAGCACAGATTGAATTCTGGCTTTGTCTTAATGAACGTCAATATTTATTACCAAAGGCGTTGTGCTCCTCGGAGTGATAGAGCATTTCCCCATTTCAGCTTGTGCCTGTTGCCTTCCCAGGTACCAAATGCTATGTAATTGCTGCTCATAAAGGTGGCAGACAATATTGCCAGGAAAACTCACTCCTGGCTGTAAATCTTCATCATCAAAATCAGCAGAGCTTTGCTTCTGGTTTGGACAGAGTGTCTCTGAGGGCCGGGCCCACCCAGAATTTTTTGTTGTCCTGCTTTGGTAAGAGGATCTCTGCCATTGGCATTTAGCCAGGTGTGGATTTTTCTGGGGTTTGAGAATGGAAACCTAAATCAGCAAGGCTTAGAAAGGCTGAAAGTGATGGAAGTTACAGCTCCCACTTCAACTCAGGCCTAGGAAAAGCTGATCACTCATAAATTTGGGAGGGTCCCTCAGGGTACCAGTCTAACCTTCTCACTTTGCAAATGAGGTCGGTGAGGCTCAGAGAGAGGAGTCCTTTGTCAATGTCACAGAGCTCCCAGGCCAGTGCCCTTCACATTTGGCCACACCACCTCCTGGACATGTAACAGTGAGCTCAGAAGGACTCCCTGAGCTGGAGGCTGACTCCAAGAGTTGGTGGCTCTCAGTTGGATATATATGTTCCTCCTCCCAACCTGGCTTCCTGGAGCCTGTCCTGACAAGTTGCTTTTCCCACCTGGTGTGAGCTTGTGACCTGCCCTGGCTTTTCCTGGGAAAATCTCTGGAAAACAAATCTTCCCCCAAACCAAACATTCCTGGGAGCAGCAATCCCACCTGGAGAATTTGTACAAGGAAATGGAGATTAACTCCAGCTTTATCTGGGAGGAAATAACCCATTTGTTTCTACTAGCCCTTTGCTCTGGGGTGCAGCACTCCATGGGGAGATTTGGAAGAGCAAAGGAGAACCTGAAGTGCCTGAACAGGACACCAGGCTGGATGGAGTTTGGCTTCCACTTCAGCTTCCTGCCAACTTGCTAAGGACAGAGATGGCCCTCGGGCAGAGACACAAAATGGGTTTTGGAGAGTGATGTCCTGTGGTTCTCAGACACAAGATTGCTCCACAGAAACTGCCTGGCTGTTGTTATGGGAGTTATGCTGGAGAGAATTATAACTTTTGACAATGGACATCTTACCTTGCACAGATGCGTCCTTTATAGAATCTACCAGCAAGATTACAGCAGCATCAGAGTGTAATGGGGAGAAGAGTCAATAATTCTGGGGTTATTGATTGTAAGCAGACCCATTCTTCTTTTTTAATTTATATTTCATCCACTTTTTTCAATCTTTTTTTTTTAAAAACACCTGTCCTGACAAAAGCACTTGCTTGATCAAATGCAGTTGATTACATTTTTTAAAATGATAGGAGCAATTTTCTGCCCTTTGGAGAGCCTAGGACAAGAGAGTTCAGAGCCACAGGGGAAGGGAAATGCATGCATAGCACACGTCAGGGGAGAAACAGGAAGGACAGAAGAAGACATGGTATATGGGTAGGCACGGAGCAAAAAAGGGAGGCTTGGCCAGGTCCCCAGGGCTGAGCCTGGAGTGAAACCTCCTCTCCCTGACTCCATTAGAGCTCAGATTTCTTACTGCCTTGTAGCTCCACTGGATCTTCGCATGTCCCAAAGATATATTTTCATCCTTCAGTCTCACTTCGTCCAGTGGATCTTTTCTGCAGTCAAATGGTCTACCCCTGAGCTCCCCCTCGCAGGAGATCTTCTCTGATAGGGCAAATAGAGATGCCAGGTGGGTTAGAGCAGGTAGAATGTATACACACACACACACACACACCTATGTACACTCAAATGTTTGCCCACATAGAATATCTTCAAGTCACACAACGTTTATGCATCAGACACTGCAGACAACTTGATATGTGTTTTTAATTGTTAGATTGGCCTGTATGGGCTAAGGTGGCAGCTTATAGTTTTTAAGATATTGATTATATATATTTGATGTTCCCGATATCCTATTTATCTCTAACTACATACTAGTGGGCATTTGCTGAATAATGCTTTGGGAGTTGAATGAACATTAGAACATCTCTTCTCGTGAAGAAGTGACCAGGGACATCTCTAGGTGCTGTTTGAACATCTGATTCAACTTCTAAATTGTCCTAAGGCTGCTGTTCCACTTGTTTCTCTTCCAGTGGGTGAGAAACCCAAGCTCTATTTTCTGATATTGACTGTAAACTAGTCTCAGCATACCCAAGATCAGAGGAAGAGGGAGCCCAGAGACTTCCCCATCCAAACCTCTCATTTTCCAGAAGAGGAAACTGAGTCCTAGAGAGACTAAAATAACCTACCCCCAGGGTGACATCTGCTTTGGGATAAATTCAGGACTGATTCAGTGTACTTATCTAGTGCAAAATGATTTTTTCTTCTTGCTTCATTCTCTTCCATGGTCAATAGTAGGTATGATCACTTGTGTCTCCCACGGACCCTGTTACTTCCTTCCCAAACTCGTCAAGCTGCATTATGGGAAGTGCTCCCTCCTCACCCCTATTTGGTTCCAGATGCATCTGAATGTGTCAAGGGCTTAAAGAAAGTGCAAGATACAGATATGAAGCTAGAAGTAGTTTCCCCATCATTCACTGGCTTGTGCCATCACTTCCTTCTAGGCCAGGCTGTCGCTGACACTCTATGTGGTTGGTTTTTGAGGTGCCAGTATGACCATGGACAAGTCTTTTGACTTTATTGAGACCTTGGCTGTCTTATTTGTCAAACAGGGATAATGATGATACTTTTTCTCCCTCCCATACCACGTCAAAGGGGATAGCTTGTATAATACCATGGCACACATTGGAATGTGCCACGTTAATAAAAGAGACTTTTGAAAAAGAAAAATTGAACTATTTATTTTAGAATAGTGTTAGATTTACAGGAAAATTGTAGAGATAGATCAGAGTGTTCTCACATGCCCATTACTTGGTGACTTCTATTATTAACATCTTACATTAGCATGGTACATTTGTTACAATTAATGAGCCAATATTGCTAAATTATTATTATGAAGGCCATAGCTTATTTAGTTTCCTTACTTTCTACCTGATGTCCACCTGTTCCAGGATTCCATTCAGGACACCACAGTTCTCCTGGATGTCACATCTTGGCCCCACTGAGCTGTGACTGTTTCTCAGACTTGCTTCCTTTTGATGACCTTTTCAATTCTAAGGAGTACTGATCAGGCATTTTGCACAATGAGCCTCCAGTGTAATTTGTTGGATAACTTTTTCATGATTAGACTGTAGTTATGAGTTTGGGGAAGGAGATTAAGGAAAGTGCCAGCTTCCTTACATGAGATCAGGGACACATCCCCTCAGAGATTTATCGTAAATGTAGTGACAATATCCTGGAGCTGTACTTTATCACTGAGAAAGAGCAGTGACCCTTAGTTTCAATGGCCCCTGGTTTCTGGATCACTGGGCCCCTCCTGGCCCTGAAGTAAGAGTCTTGGGTGTTTTCCCTGAAATATAAGAGGCTCTTTCTTTCCTTTCTGTCACCTGGGTCTGACTCTAATGAGCTGTTAATAACATGACCATTACCTATGCAAATGAAGGAAGCTGGGCCTGTGTGGGAGATGCTGGCAGTGGCAGTAATAAATCATGTTGCTCTGGTTATTAACTCACTCATCGGAGGTGCCCCACAACCTGAGCTCCTGGGCCCCTAGTTTCCTGGCTTAGTTGTATCAACAGCCTGTTTCTCAGGAGACTTTAGAGACGTGATGGTTAATTCACCTCAGATCTATTCTAGGGGGCACTGTAACCAGGGGCCCACAATGAAGTTTAACTCTCTAGTTGGTTTCTGACTCCTGTGTGTCCTCAAGCCAGTTCCTTACATTCTCTGTGTTTTAGCTTCTTTTTCTGGAAAAGAAATATAAATAAATAATGGGTCTTGTGAATTGGCTTTTTCCTTGTAAAGTCGTGGTCTAGAGCAGTGCTGGTGAACCTTTTAGAGCTTTCAGTGATACAAACAGCCTACTTCAATATGAATGCCATAGGTCTAGAGAATGGTCTAGAGAATGGTAGAGAGATGTGGGTTTCTAATCTGAACTTCCCTGCTATGATTATCCCAGTTCATCCTTTATAGGACATGGTCATATACTGGTATTTGTGTCCCCTGAAAAGGCTGGAGAGAGTGATGCCAAAGACACAGGTGCTGAAGAGCAGGAAGCCTGGTGTGTGTCACAGAGTGGCAACACCACACACACCCCAGCCTTACCCCTCTATAGGAAGAGGCAGAGGAGTTCCCACTTGTACAGAGTAGGCAGAAGAGGAACTCTCTAGTTGTCTGCCATAGAAAGCAGAGAGGTTAAATCTGAGAAAGCCTCCTCTAGCTCCCAAGGCAACTGACATGCCATGAACCTTTTTTCCTTCCTATACTCACTTGTAGGTCTCAGCCTTCAGCAGCCTGGAACCCCCACATGGCTTTCTCTTCCCTTTGAGGGGGAAACACCTCTTAGGGCACTGCCCAGATGAGCACGTTGTTCATTCCATCCACACCAGGGCCTTCAGAATACTGAGTTGAGTGTGAGGCTCTGATTAATCAGAACTCTCTTGTCTGAGTTCTGAGGCAATTTAGGAAATAGGCAGGAGAAGCAGGTATGGATCCAAATATCAGTATAGGGGGTGGTAAAGGCCTATAAAAAAATAAGTTTTGTATCTAGAGCCAACATGGGCTTTCTTTACTTTTCCCTGAATGAAATTTCCTACTTGGTCATAGGCAGAGAAGTTGAATGACTACTGGTATGGCCTGGAAGGGAAAGAACATGGTCTGTGTGCAGAAGGATGAGAAAGAGTGAAAGAGAATGAGAATGTGAAGTCCAGATAGAGATGAGAGCCTTACTGGATCAACATCTTACTTTCTATGGCAGATAATACACCTGGGGCATCTCCATGGTTCCCATTCACAGGTTCACACCCTCCATAAGAGCAAAACTGTGGCTTGATTCTAGTGGATATAATAGGGCAAAGTTGAGGGGATTTAAGGTTATAAATCAGTTGATTTAGAGTTAGTCAAAAGAGAGATGATCCCGAGTGAGTCTTCACCAGGCAAAAGCTCTACAAGGTGGACTCAAGGCTCTCTCAAGATGGATCCCTCTTGCTAGCTTGATCAAATAAGCCACCATGCTGGGGAAACCCATATAGCAAGACATTGGAGTAGCCTCCAGGAAGTACAGGCACCTCAAAATGACACCAGTACAAGGCCAGGACCTCAGGCACATGGCCACAAGTAAGTGAAATCAAACCAACATCTGTGATGATATGGGAAGCAGATTCTTTCCCATTTGGGCCTCCAGATGAGAATGCAGCCCAGCCAGCACCTTGGCTGCAGCCTCATGAACCCAAGAGGAGAACCCAGGACCTTTCTGAACTCCAGAGCCATGGAAATGTGTGAGATAACAAATGTAGGTAATTTTACATGGCTCAGTTTCTGATCACTTGTTATGCAAAACCAGAGAAAGAGTATTGTTCTCTTGGAGACAGTAAGAGTTGCGGGAATAAATGTTGGAAAAAGACGGGTATTATTTTTGGGAAAGAGGCAGCTTTTAGTTTCTGATTTGAGCATTGTGGGAAGAGGGAAACAATGTCACCCTCACTTCATACACAAGGGTAACTCCATTCTCCTCGTCCCAACCATAGCTGCCTCAGTTCATCCCCATTGTTCCTTTTCATGGACTGAAGTTTTGAAAGGGAGAGAAACAGAGTTGAATGGAAATTAGAAACAAGCTTATTAGGGTTTGTGCTTCACAGAAAGGTCTTATCAACTTCCATGGTTGAGAATCCTTACCTTTGTGGGTTTTGGATTTTCCAATTCTTCTTTCTATTCCATGAGATGTCTAACTATCCTTTGAATAAAACTCTAATCCCTCCTTTTTAAATAAAAATTTAATAAGGTAACCAGACTGATTGTTCCTGCTTGCCACAAAAAAGAATTTTAATACCTGATATATTTTCCCACTAGCCTATTGCCCCTAAGTTTGTTCCCATCAAATTGCCCATCCCTACTATTTCTCTCCTGAAACAAGGATTTCAGAGTTTTTTTCTGGTTTCTTTGTTCCTCTAATCTTATGACCCTATTACTGTCTCTCTTGCTGATGACTCTGCTGAGATTATGGCTGGTCTGGCCTTAATATTTTGGCTGGAGGCTGGAAGTGATGACCTCAAAGCTGGCTTCAAGGAGAGGGTAACCCCTTCTTCTCTTGGCTCCTCCTTCTTAAACATGAGGTGTACTGCTTCTTAAGTTCCCTTCAGCCCAACTGAGGTCAGGCTATGACTTTTAATAATCCTTCACTAAAGTCTTGAGTATAAGGCAAGTACATTGGATCTAGCATTGGTATCCTTAGGACCCATGGGCTTGAACCAGCCTTTACTGGGCTGCATCCCTGCCTAGCTGCTGACCTGTTTCCATGTGGCAGGTGTTATGTATCTTCTATCTCTCTTGATTCCACAACAACTGATACTGATCTCCTAAATGGTAAGGTAGGAAGTTTCTTTTCTCTTCCATTTTTTTTGTCCCAAGATTAACCTTGCCCAGGATGATTGATGATGAACATATAACATTCAAGGTAAACCTCAAGTTACCCTTAAGTTTGTGTCTGTCTATAACCTCAGACATCAATACAATGGTTCCACAAGGCATTAACCAAAGTCTACCTTATTTAGGATTAATAGTGTCATATGTCAACATTTACAGTCTAGTGTAGAGTGTGTTGTGCTGGACCTAGTCACTTCCATCCTTCATCTCAAAGTCAAAGTCTATACTTCTGCTCTTCTCATTTTTACTTGTGATTTTTGGGGAGCAAATTATTGGATAAGGCAAACAAATGTGACAATGTCTCTCAAAAACCAGGCTTACCTTTTTTGAAAGTCAGATTTAGAAAGAGAAAACTTTTCCAACCAAATATGTAGGGCAAGGGTTAGGATAAATTATTCTAAATATATAGTACCAAACATGAAACTTGAGGGTTAAATTTGCAGCACTGGCATTTGTGAGACCTCATAGCTCCCAGGTAGATCTTCCTCAAGACTTTTAGTGTGCTCTTGCCTTAGATTTGTATTGGCAGAAAGTTTCTTATGATATTTTTCCAAACAAAGAAATAAATGGTTTCCCTCACAAGTTAAATTGTAGTCCCCAATGTGACCTGTGGCAGACTATTTGGTAGAGTGGCAAGAACCTTCAATGCGATGTTAGAAGAATGAATTCCAGCTCTGTCTATGTCACAGCCTAGTCATGTTAGTTTGAGGAGTCAATAACCTGTCTAGAAACTTGTTTTTTATCTGCAGAAAGAAATATGGGACTAGGTGAAATCAAGGGTGTCTCCTACCCCTTATCGTCTATGCTTACTGGGAGCTAGTGGGATATGGATACCAGGTAAAAGAAGGGCCTACTACTTCTTGTTCCAGTTTTTCTGCTGATGCCTGTGAAGAGCTGAATGGGGACCACTATGTACTACTCAGTACAGCATCTGTGAAGAATGGGAGCTGACCTCATGCATAGAGGTACTGTCCTTTCTGTATACTACGGTGCCTCTGAGTCCCCACTATTCAGGCAAGGGTTGTCTGATTTGAAAAGAAAGTTTGTTGTGAACATACCTTTGGGCTAATATGGATCCAGGTAGGCACCCCCCATTCCAGCCCACACATATTCTGTATTTGGATTTTTTTCTTGGACAAGTATTGTATGTTGCACCTAGATTCTCTCTGTTCTTAGGATTGTCTGGTCTTCTTATTTCTTTCTTATCCCCAGGCCCTGGTAACTGGGCTGTGTCCCTTTGTCACTGTTCATTACTTTCTAGAGTTCTCTGAACATCCTTCCTGGCTCATGGGGCCATTCATGTCTGTTCAACCCTCCTCTCTGAAGACTTTGGTTTCCTAACAAGTGCATCTTGCTCTCTCTATTTTTTTTTTTTACTATGCTGAAGAGTAGAACCACATGTTAGGCCAGAAACTGGAGATCCCAGATGAACTGTTGTCCCCTGCCATCTGCTTCCCAGGGGATGAAAGTGTTAAGCCAAGTCCTCTTAATAAAAGCAAGATCCACTGGTGCCATGGGCTATGGTGGTGCCGGTTGGCTTGCAATAGTACATACTCCCTACCTACTTGACCAGCTGTATTTGCCTATACACATCATATGGTGCCAGACAAGCTAGTTAGCAGCCACTCAGGGGAATGATTAGATCCTTTATCTAATGTTTATCTTAGAATCTGTCAGGGACCCTAGTATCAAATAGGGTTTCATCCTCAACCGCACACCCAGGCACCTATCCAGATCATTATAAAAGAAGAATGAATGAAAGAAAGAAAGAAGATGATGAACACTTAGGAATACATATTTGTAGGGATGTGTTTCCTCCTGTTTTGAAATTGCTAGAGTTCCATAAGAAGGTGGAGGCTGAATACCTACTATGTATTGGATTTTCTACTGCACCATCCCTCATCCAAAACTCTGGTGTGGTTTATAGTATCTTCATTCATCTGTGTTAGTACCAGAAACCTCAGCTTCATCTCCAACATCTCCTCTTTCCACATTCTTCCAACAGTTCATTATCTTCTAAATTTGGTTATCATTATACTATTTTTATAGGGTTGGGTAAACTTTTTCATTTTACAGATAAGGAAGGAAGCTCAGAGGCACAGAACTCTTGCTGAGGTCACAGAGCTATTAGGTAGGAAATTGGTGCTTTACCCTGTATTTATCTTTCTTCGGGAACCCTGGAATCACTGACTTAACAAACATCCAGGTGCCCTTGGGCCCAGTTTGGTAATAGCTGCAAGAGAAGAAGCCACAGTCTATATTCAAGAACTCTCTAACCCACTGAAGGGGGAGATATAAAGAAAAAATCAAAATACAATGGAGGAATTTCATGGTTCCATGAGAGTACAGAGAAAAGAATATCTAGCCTCTCCAGGGGTCAGGAAGTGCTTTACACAGGAAGTGACTTGTGATTTGATTTTTGAAGGATGGGAAGAATTAGACTGGAAAGCAAAGAGAATCTTGGCAGAGGTACAAACAGGAAAAAAGCTATAGAAATAAGAAGGGGCATGCGAGGAGAAAGACACAATCCTCTGCCCTGTGATGGGTACTGGCATCAGGGGCACTTTGGGAAATTGTACAATAGATGTGGCAAGTGAGGTATCTCTACTTCATCCTAAAGTAAACAGGGGACTGCTGAAGTTGGAGCAGGGAAGAGAGGCAATGAGGAACCTACCTTAGAAGAAAAACTGACCAGAGAAGCATGGAAATATGGAAATTGTGTGTGTGTGTGTGCGCCGTGTGCACACGCGTGTGATGTGAGTCAGTGTGGGTCTGAGTGTTACATAAGATTAAGTGTGATTGTGTGTATGCATTTGTATGAGTGGTTGAGGGTTTGTGGGTGAGTGTGTATGTGTGAGTGTACGAGTGGGCTCATGTGTGCATATAAACACTAAAGCTATAGAAACCATTAAGAGGCTTTTCCAATTGTTTAGACAAAAAGTGCTAGGGGCCTGGACTAGGGCAAGAGCAGAGGGAATGGTGAGGAGGCAACAGATGTGACAAATAATTGTGTTAGACAATGGACCAGACTCAGAGACAAATTAATTGCCGGGGGAGGTGAGGAAAGGGGAGGTGTTTGCTACGATAATGATGAGGTTTCTAGTTAAATAACTTGGGTGAATGATGGTACCATTAACTCAGATAAAGAATGTGCGTGAACAATGAGGTCAGTTTTGGACACGTTGGAGGAGAATGGCATGGATGGTAGGGATGGATGCAGCTGTTTTCTGAGCTTTAGAGAGAGGGAGGATATTGCTGGGGCAGTGGTCAGAAAAGAAAGGGGGTATACCAGGACAAGGTGAAGACCCGTGCTAATATTCCTGGCCAGCAAGTTAAGCGTGGGCTGGAGAAGCCCCAGCTCCATCTGCAGAGCTGGTCCTCGTTCCCAGCTCTCTTGTCATGTTTACGCCGCTCTCTGCTTGTCACAGTCCGAGTCAGGCGCTGACAGCCTCAATGGTGCTGGCGATTTATCAGTGAGTGGAAAAAGATAATTGACCATCATCTCACCTCACCTCGCCTCGCCTCAGCTGATAGAGAGAAATTTAACTGCTTCATTCCACTATAATTTCATATAATTCTCCATCTTTCTCTCCCTCATTTTTACTCAGAAGTTTACAAAAGTGATGGATGATTTGCTATCAAATATATAAAAAGAAGCTAAAATATCATTGGACAGTTTAACAGCCTTTAAAATATAATGGTCTCCCTGGCTGGACATCCTCAGTCGCCGTAGAGGCCCAGAAGGTCAAGCTTTAATGAACTGGTGAGAATTAGAGAGGGAAAGTGAAAGTGATCAATGCTCAGAGCTGGCTCTACAGTCTACTGACCTTGGGGGAAGAAGAGATGTCATTATTTATGGAACCCCGCTAGGAATGTTCACCAGGCTGTCACAAGCCACTGGGGAGAGTGGCGGTTGAATAGCAATAGGAAGCCTATGGTCTTGGGTTACAGCAAGTAGAGGAGGCTGCTTGCTCTTAGCAGGGTCTCTGCTTGTATCCCCTGATACCCTGAGGTTCTGCACTTCTTGAAAAGGACTTCCTCCAATCTACTGCCTCAGGGCAGTCCTGCCTTTGTTTTGCCCAAAAATCCAAATTCTCCTCTTGCTATCATTTTTGGTTCCTGGAGCCCTCTGAGTTGCTTCTTTACACATTTACAGGAAATAGAGACTAGCTTTTTATCTAAACTTCTGAATTTATCAGTGTGATACAACAAGATGAGGAAGAGAGGGGCGATTGTCTTCTTTAAGCCACCTGCTATGTGCCATGCCCTATTCTAGGCACTAACCTATATATTTTCATTAGATTCTTTCTCTAACCCTTGAGGTAGTTACTCTATAATGTTTTCATATAGCTGAAGAATGGGAGGTTCAGAAGTTGTGGAACATAGTCCCAGTGACCCTACCTTCTGATATTCATGTCCTTATGTAATGCCCTCCCCCTGGAGGGTGGGGAAGACCGAGCAACTTGCTTCTAACAGAATATGGCAAAGTAATGAGATTTTACTCCTGAGATTAGGTTATAAAAAGACTGCAATTTCCATCTTGTTCTCTCGTTGGCTCTTATTGCTGGATCCCTGCCACCATGGTGTGAGTTGCCTGATAGAAGGGCCTGTATGGCAAGGAACTAGAACTGGGCTGAATCAAATGCTGGTAACAGCCCCATGAATGAGCTCATTTGGGCCTTGAGTGAGATTGCAGCCTCAGCTGGTGCCTGGATCATAGCCTGTGAAACCTTGAACAGAAGACTTAGTTAAAGCGCAGCTGCATTTCTGACCCACACAACTGTAAGATGATACATGCAAGTTGTTTTAGGGTTAGGGTTAGCACAATGTGCTGTATTTTGTTTTTGGACAATAGATGAATAATTCAGAATAGTAAAATAAGATGTGCAAAACAAAATTTTCATGATACTATTTTGACTTTTAAAAAAGGTTGGCATGTACTTGACTCTCCAAGAGATTCTTGTTCACTAGGCTGTGGGATCCTGAGATATGCAGAGGGCCAGGGTCTCATGGAGAAACTGTGAGGCCTATCTTTACCCCATGGTGGCCTTCTGGTGGAGCTGTGGTACGGATGGCCAGTGACTGCCCTTCCCCAGAAAACTCTTTCCCATTAGACAGATTGCACTTGGGAACATCTGCCCAGAAGCACTCCAGTTGATTTAAGCATCTTTGCTTTTAATTTTTGGTAGCTTTCAAAGGAAGAGAGAAAAATAAGGTTAGTTTCCTGAAGTGTAATTGTTTCGGGCAGTTATTTATTAATGAAAAGGAACAACATGTCAACAAGGCCCGGGTTTTTCTGTAGAACTAATGTTAGCTGAGGTGCAGGTTATAAGAAAGGTAAGCCTGCTGTCAGTCTGCATTTGTCCAGTTCCATGGTCCCCAATTAATTACCTGTGCTCTGGGTCCTAGCTGGGGGACAATCTTTACCACCTCCTCATTGAGGGATGAGGCGCTCTGAGTGGCAGGAGAAGCAACATCTCTGACATGGTTCTCCTTCAAGAGGTTGATGGTCCTTGGAGATTTCTTCAAGATTTTTTTGTAGCAAGGATTGAACTCAGAACCTTGCACTTGCAAGGCAGGCAGTGGAACCACTGAGCTAAATCTCCGGCCTTCTTCAAGATTTTGATGACTTATTCTCAGCCTGGACCCCAACATGGACAAGAAAAGGGATAGAGATCCTTTGTTGAAGCCAAGAGGTACAAAGCTTTGGCTTCGGTTGTCACTGAGTTGTATTAATGTATTGTATTTGGAGTCATTGAGATTGTGGGAACTTGCTTTAAGTTTCTTTATGTATAAAACAGGGAGAGTTATAGCACATAGCTAACAGAGTTGATAGAAGGGTGACATGTGATAATATATGTAAAAACTTGTTTAATATAAATCACTCTACAAATGGTGTGCATGCATGTGTGTCTGTGTGTGTGTGTACGTATGTCTGTATGTGTCTGTGCATGCGTGCACTTAT